CGATTGGCACAGGACAGAGCGGAGTTTAGGGCTGTTGTACATAGGGTCGCTATGAGTCGCAGGCGACTCGACGGCACATAACAACAACAACACTGTAAAGCCCTCAGATCACTGATGGGCCTATTGCCTCACTCTCCCCACTAAATCTGGACTGTGAGTTTGACTATGCTGAAAGCCACCCGTGTGTTCTGCACAAGAACTGAATAGATCTGCACAGACAGCTTGGGGGCCTGGGAAGGCTCTGGCCACAAACCCTTACCCTCCAGTGTCTCACCTTGTGGGGTCTGTACAGGAGGCTCTCAGAGGTCAGGCAGCTGCTGGTCTTGTCACTGTGTGTCCACCTCTGGCTCAGTAGCTCACCTCGGAACTCATTTTCTGAGGGTTGGAAAAACACAGGATTAGGGAAGGGAGCTGACGGTGCAATGTTGCCCTCAGGGAGACTTGAGAGGGCCTGGGCCCCTTTGACCTCAACTGCACAACCTCCTTTCCAGAGACAACACAGCGTGAATGAGGCCAGAGCTTTATAGCTGTTCTGGACACAAGGGAAAAGCTTTTTGGGAAGAAGTACCCCTGAACCGAGACAAGTTTCAGGGCTCAGTGTGTTGCATCTTGCTCATCCTTCACAGAGTAACTCCCTGTCCCACACATGGGCTGCTTCCAAGGCCTCTGGCTCATGTGTAATTCTTCACATGAACTCACGTCCAAGCAGAGGCCACACGCATCACTGGACGTGACAGGGATGTGCTTTGTGCCTATCTCCACACGTCACTCCTGTTGCCACGACAACCACTCTCTCTGCAGCACTGTTTCAAAAGAAGGTCATTAAGTAACCAACAATAAACACAGGAAATGAATATCCTGTATTTTGTTCCTGACCCTCCTGGGAAGTGAGCTGGGCTCCACTAAAGGCCAGCCGGCATGCTGTCAAGGCCATCATCTTGTCCCTCTCATTTGTCTCTGGAATTCCTCTGCTCTCAGACCTAGACAACCTGAGCTGGACACAGCTCCCTACTACTGCCTGGAAATACCTCCATCCCATTAAAGTTACTACTCTACCCCAAGGGAGCACAATCATAGAGGGAACGGTCACAGAGAGAGCAGACATGTATGAGACCAGCAGGGTTTGGGCCCTCCTTTATTCCTTCTTCCCTCCTGGGAACCCCTTTCTTGCCCCCTATGCTGAGCTGTGCATTGGCCTGGGAACCTGTGAATCCTAGCCACTTGGCTGGACTGATAAAAGCCCTTGATGCTCAGGCCAAACAGGGAATCAGGGCCAATGCGAAGCCAGGCCTTACATATCATGGGCATCCAGGCTCACAGAGCAAGGATGAGAACCTGGGTGAAGGTCTTAGAATACACGCAGGGAGCTGACCCACAGTAAAGGCACATCTGAAGGTGAGGAACAAGGGGCCAGCACTGCCACAAGGTAGAAGGCTGAGCAGGTGATGAAAGTAGGTCTCACTGGGCCTCCCTGCATCTCCTCCACAGACAAGGTGGATGGTCTGGAGTCTTCCCAAGGAGATCAGGTGGTATAGTGCATAGAATACTGCATTGCTCACCAGAAGGTCAATAGTTTTTATCCACAAGCCATTCCAAGAGGGGAAGATGGTAGTTTCTTTCCATTAAGATTTACAGCCTTGCCCAGCAACAATAGCAAAGCTCAACAGAGAAGCAAACAATAGAAGCTGGCAAGGTTTGGGAGAGATTGGAACCCTTATTCACTGCTGGAAAGAGTGTAAAATTGTGCAACCACTCTGGAAGGTGGCTTGGCACTTTCTCAAAAACTTGGAAGTAGAAATATCATCTGACCCAGCAATTCCACTCCTGTGAATATACCCTAAAGAAACCAGAGCCACCATCCAAACAGATTTATGAACACTCATGTTTATTGCTGCCTTATTTACAATAGCAAAGAGATGCAAGCAACCAAACTGTCCATCAACAAATGAATGGATAGAAAAACTACCGTATATTCATATAATGAAATACTATGCAGCACTGAAAAACAATGAGCCCATAAAACATTACACAACATGGGTGACCCTGAAGGACATTATACTGAGTGAAATATCTCAGTCACAAATGGACAAATATTGCATAGCACCATTGTTATTAAACAGGTCTGACATGGAGGGGTTGGGAAGAGAATAGGATAAGAGTGGATAGAAAATGAAAATTGCATTGGAACAGATGAAGGGAAGAACTGTTTAAAAGGAATGCATAATTAGGCATTATACGTACAAAAAATAGCCCAGAAAAAGAGGTACACTGCATTTTTCAACCATCCATTAGTTGATGTGCATTAGTAATTAATTATATAAAATACAATGTATATGAATGATTGTATAAATCATCTTGTATATGAACAAAATACAATGTAAATTAAAGATTGTACAAAACACAATATATACACATGAAGTACAATATATATGAATGATTGTATGAAAACCAATAAAAATATGAAAAATAATGTGAGTGGCTAAAAATAAAAAATAAATAAAGCAGTATACAGCAAAGAGGTGAGGGTGGGGAGGTAATTGTGCAATAATGAATTTTTTTAAGTTAACTGGGGGAAGAGGAAAGGAGGGAGAGAGGGTAAAATGTACAGCAATGAATGAATGAATGAATGAAAATCTAACCTTTCTGAGAACTTTCATTAAAATCACAATTAAAATTTTATTTCAAAAATATTTACAGCGTTGGAAATTCAATAGAGGTCTCTGTATTTTCCAAGCCACTTGCAACAGTGGGAATAGGGAAGTCTATAGTGGTCTGAAATTATAAGAGCCAAGAGTCTTTGGAGGAGCCAGAGTATTTGCGGAATCTAGAGTATTTGCAGGGAACCCTTGAGGCCTACTGGTAAGAAGCTTCGCTGTAATCCCAAACGCAGGTGATTCAAAGCCATTAGCTGTTCTGCAGGAGAAGGATGGGCAATCTCCTCCTGTGCAATTGCCTCTGAAAATCTGCTAAAAGTCAACTATAGATTGGTTCCGACTCGATGGTACATAACAACAAAAGAGTCTTTATGGGCCTGGATTGTTTGGGGACCTGGCATCTCTAAGAGTCACTGTATCTTGGAGTAATTGGGAATCTAGAGTCTTTGTGGGGGCTGAAGTCTTTAGGGGACCCAGAGTATTTGAGAAATCATTGGGAGTTCTGGTGACATATTCCATAAGGAGTTGCAGTGCCTCTCTGGTGGTGCAAATCTGCTAGCTGCTGTGGAGGAGAAAGATTAGTACCATCTTCCCTTGTGATCTGTAACAACCAAAAACCCACTGGAAGGCCAGCTATGAGCAGGTTCCAACTTAACAGCAATGAGTTTGAGTTTTTAAAGTTTTTTGGGGCATAGATAGTCCTGGACTCACTAGCGGTCTGAAGTCTCTGGAGGAATCTGAAGTCACTGAAATGCTGAAATCTCTGGGGGCCTGAGTCTCTGAGGTCCCCAGAGTCCTGGAGGGCCCTATAGTCTTTGTTCCTTGAGTGCTGCCTGGTAAGGTCTCAGTCTGGTGGAACTAGCATCTGAGTCACACAGCCTCGAGCATTTGCCACTCAGAGACAACCTTCTCACAAGCTCTTCATGTCAGAATTGAGGGAGCTAGCCAGACCCCAAATTCTGCCAACCCTCTCCTGAATCTCACCAGAATTTGTCTACATCTGACCTCAATCTGGCAGCACTAGGTTGCCCAGTTCCTCTCCTCCCCTTTTGAAGATATATAGTCCTTAGACCTGACCCTCACCCTATCCCTGGAGGTAGCTCTCCTCTAAAGTGCAAAGACCTGCTCCATATAGACTCCTCCTCTAGGGTTTGAGGATCTATCCCCAGTGGCTCTCTCTCAAACCTTTTATTGCAACTCTGTGTGTGTGTGCATTGTGAACGTGTGTGCACATGTTTGTATGGCCACTCTCCAGAGCCCATGTTCACCATTCTGGCACAAGGCACAGTGGCCATTCCATTTGTACGTGAGCCCCCTAGAAGCAAAGCACCCTTTAACTACATATTTACACCCTCAAGTCCATGACCAGGCATAACGTGCTCTCTCTCGCTCTCTCTCTCGTGTGTGTGTGTGTGTGTGTGTGTGTGTGTGTGTGTGTACTGGTTTAATTACAAAGTTCGAATACATTGTTTTTCAAACTGGATCTTTCCAATTTCCTTCACCCCTCCCCTCCCCATCAAATGTGCGACCCTATGATTAAACCCCTCCCCCCAACCATCCTCACCCCTCTGCTTCTGCCCTCTTCCTCTTGGATCCTCATATTGTTCTACAATAAAGGTCTTATACAATATTTGTCTTTATGGGACTGAGTTCACTTAGCATAGTGCTCTCCAGTCTCTCCCAAGTTAGGTAGTAAATTACAAAATCATTGCTCCTGCATGTTGCATTGTATTCCATTGCGTGAATGTATTTCTCAATCCGTTCAGTTGTGGTTGGACATTTGGACTGTTTCCATGTTCTTGCAATGGTGAATAATGCTGCTATGAACAATATTGTACAAGTCTCTATTTGTGCCTCAGTTCTCATTCTCTCAGGTTATATTCCAAGCAGTGTCATATGGAATCTCTATACTCAGCTTTTTGAAGAAGCACCAAACTGCCTTCCAGAGTGGTTATACCATTTTACAATCTCACCAACAATGTATAAGAGTTCCTATATCACCACATCCTCTCCAACATTTATTACTTGCTATCCTGTTAAACTTTGCCACTGCTACTGGAGTAAGATGGTATCTCAATGTGGATTTGATTTACAACTCTCTTATTGCCAGTGATTTTGAGCTTTTCTTCATGTGTCTGTTGGCCATCCGAATTTCTTCCTCTGTGAAAATTCTTTCCATTTCTTTTGCCCATTTTGTAATTATGTTATCAGTCTTTTTCTTATGGAGGCCCTGTAGGATTTTGTAAACTTTTGATATGAAACCCTTGTCTGACATGGTTGCCAAAAGCTTTTTCCCAGTCGTAGGTTTTCTTTTCATTCTGTTGGAAAATGTTCTTGATGGGCACAGATATTTAATTTTCGGATGGTCCCATTCATCAATTTTATCCTCTTCAGATTGTACATTTCTGGCTGTGTTTGGCAGTCTCTTTCTACCATAGACTAAGCTGTATAAGCTTGATCCAATTTGTCTCTGATGAACTTTATTTTATGGTTTGGGACTTTACTCCCAGGTCTCTAATCCACCTTGAGTTGATTTTTGTATATGATGTGAGATGTGGATCCTGTTTCAGCTTTCTGCAGTTAACAGTCCAGTTTTGCCAGCACTATTTGTTGAAGATGTTGTCATTCCCCCATTTGATAGGTTTTATTACCTTGTCAAGTACCAGTTGACCATAGATACCTGGGTCCATTTCTGAGTTCTCAATTCTGTTCC